AAATCTATCACATCACTGCTGGTTCCATACACATTGCATAGGTAGCCCTGGTTCCACAGCATAATAAACATACCCTGATGAGCAGAGTAAAAGGACAGGATGATAAATGAATGACTGTTGTTCTGCCCAATTACATGATGATGCAGGTTTTTTTCTAGTCCTGTAGGACAGATGCAGCTGCTCCCAGAACACTTCCAAAGACCAAAGGGATTTAAAACTGTTGCCGCCATGCCCAGTGTTCAAACAAGCACCACTGTGGTTATGGTGCCTCGTAGAGCAAAGCTCAGCATTGAGGTTTCCCCCACTACCCTTTGGCTATAAAAATTGCTTCTTTTGCTTTTCTCTCCATGAGGCAAAATAAATGTTAAATGTCTGCAACAGACCAAACTCTACAGCAGGGATAGAGTGCTCACTCTGAATGTGATCAGGATGCTTTTCCAGGTCTGAAAGCAGCAGCTTATTCCCTTCAAACTGAGTATAGTACCAAAACCTACCAGTACTGGGCAGGTATTGCATCAAGCGGGTTGTCCACATGAGGTGGGCAATCCCAGCTACACCTTATATTTACTACAAAACGAGAATTGTTAGCCACATTGCCACAGAGGAGGACACTTCTGAACATATCACTACTCTGTCTCGAATGCACAAGTTCCCATTTCACAACTAGCTTTGCATACGTTATCCTTCAGCATTAACTCTTCCCACAAATAGGTGATCTACAGCGTCGTAGCATCTAGCATTTCAACACCATGTTACCTCAAATTTAGGTAGTGCTGAGCTCTGCAGTGCAGGCTCTACATCTAGCATACAGAAGTCATTTCTCCTACTTTTAGTCTTACCTGTTGAAATTGCTTCTTCATCAAGAGCACTTCCAGAGATTTCAACATCTTCTAGCATATTGTCAAGTTGCATTTCTGTAGGTTTTAAATACAATAGGGCTATGAGTCACATACATAAAAAAAAGAGTATCTACAGGAGATGGTATCTTTATCATTGTTTCCTGCCAACGTGCTTGAAGTTAGTTCAGGAAAGACATGATCCATCGTCTGAGAATACGCCAGTTCTTTTTGCCTATTATTCTGCCCCTGTAAGGGCCAGAGCTGCAAGTCGTTAGGCATGAGAACTGTTATGCCACGTGTTACTCAAATATCTTTCAGGAAGGTATTTTTGAATGCAGAAAATCTGCTGGAATACCTTTTATTAACATGATCCTTCAATGCTTTAACTTCTTTATGAACTGTGAAGGAAAAGCTTGGAATCTTTCACTCTGGATTTTAATAGCAAAGCTCAAAGTTACTTGAAAACTTGTTGTATGCTTTATAGACTATCTATATATTCATAGGCCATGTTTTCTTTCCGGTGGGAAGAGAATAGCCCACATGGAATATAGTGGAAAAAAAAAGAAAAAGTAATAAGGAAGAGCCCCCCGTGCTCTCTTGGGTATCTATAAGCAAAAGAGAATTAGGAAACTCACGAGATGGGCAGAATTTACCTCAAAAATAAGACCTGCACGAATCAAAGTTGTTTGCAAAGTTGTTGAAATACATCATACTTTTCTTAGTGGTGAATCTGAAAGAACTAAGAAAACTCATTTTGGTAAGTGTACCTAAAGGAGCCCACTGTTTTAAATGAAACATCTTAAATCCATAAATTTTTAAGAATGAAGATCTATCACACCTCCAATCCCTCTGAAGAGCCTATTGTTGACATTGCTTTAACTTTCACCTAATTCCTATAAAAGCTACAGCTTAGGGCAGCTAGTCAAGAATACTGGAACTTCTAACCACTGAAATATCTGGAATTGAAAAGCCTTTTAATTTAGAAGCAGAACATTTTAGTTTCAATTAACAAAAATATTTTACTAGAAACAAAACAGTGCTAGAAAATAGTCAAAATACACCTTTCAAAAACACAGGTATTCTTGGTTTCATTTCTTTGTGTGTGTGTCAGGGAGTAGGAGGAAATCAACTTTGCTTTATGCACAAGAAAGCTTCTTGGCAGAAGGTTACAGCAGAAGTTCTACTAATGAAAGCTTATTGCCAATGCTAGCAAAAATCTTCAGGCCTAATAACCAAGAAAACACTAACCTGAGTAGGTTAAATTATTTGACATAGTTATTTGATACATGTTAATTTGCTATTATTTAATCAGTACTTTAGGATAAAGTGGCTAAGTTTTTCTAAGAGAAGAACATTTTTCATGGTTTTCTGTTGGGAGTAGTATTTCAGAACTAGCAAGAGTATCAGCATATGGAGAGGTGATTAGTTTCTAGTATATAGTGAAAAACTAAAAGGCACCAAGTATTTTCCTTGCACTTTTCACCAATTTCTGACAATCAGCAAGAATTCTGTTCCACAGTGCCAGCTCTCAGCTAAAAAAAACAAAACCCCATAAGGTTTACTCTAATGATTTGTAACTCCAGATAAACAAGTCACTGCAGACAGAACAGGCAGCAAGAAGAGGACCCATTTGACATGCACTGTTGCTATATTCTCTTTAATTCACTCCTAGTGGCACCAGCTTACATTTTGATGATGTGTCAGTAAGATTTAAAATGTAGTAGTTTAAAATCTTCATGAGCCTCCATCTGGTAGAAAGTTACTAGGAAAACCCAGCTTCTGAAGGGAAAAAGTCTGCCTAACACTACAAGTACCCAAAGTTCAGACTACAGAGAAAGATTTAGAATACGATTCATTTATTCAAAACAGCAAAACAATTCCAGTGCCATTTTTTAGGTGCCCACAGTCCAAAAAATGGACATTTCTAAAGATTCAGTTCAAGATGTACTGCATTTACAATGCACAATGCTGTACTGAGAAGTTAAAGCTTGGTCACAAATAAACCCAAAGGAAAAATCTGATTGCACTGTTTCCTCAGTTAGCAGCCAAACTAGTTAACTATAAATCAGTCCTACAAAAGAAACTATCAAAAATAACTCTGGAAATATTAAATAATTCATTGTTTTACTTATCAGTAGTATACCAAAGACAACACAAGATACAAGGAAGCAGACTAGGTTGGAAGCATTTATGGCTGCATCAAGTACTGTTCCGTAACAAGTATGTTTTGACAGCACTATCTTGCATTGCCCTGCAACAACTTTCATCACTGGGTGATTCTGAATGAACTCATCCAGCTGATGGCAGAATTACACAGAACAAAATTAAGATATGCAGAAGATTCTGATTTGAGTTTATTTCTGAAGAGTATTAGAAATATGTCCATTGCACAAAGGTAATGCTAGGTAGAAATGAACTCCTGATCTATATTCCTCGGAAGCATATTAGTGCATACAAAGTATTTTTAAATGTAGTTAAAAGTTCACTGAACTGTTAAAAAACTTGGATAATGTGGTAGGTGAAAAAGCTTTATGGATGATGACAGGCAACAGTTAACAGGCATGAGAGGGTATGAGTGAAACAAACCTTTTGAACTCTGCAGCTAGCAAGCAGCAGGCTGGAAACAGTAAAGACTGGTTATAAATCTTGGTAACACTGGACTAAACAATAGGGATACTTACTGCATCCTCCCATCAGCAGAGAGATAAACAGAACCATGAATTAGGAGATGATATGTTGTGCTTCTGCATACAGACTAGATGGAAAAAAAGACAGGGCTGAAGTGGGAAAACTTGTCAAAGAAAGCATGGGAACAGGCAAGATCCACAGCAACAAGTGCCTGACAATGTCCAAGGTCCTTGGGCACAAGTTACCTGAGACTAGTGACGGAGCAGCTTCATGGCCTGAAACCCCCACAGCATCCAGCCCAGCTGCCCTAGGCAAGCAGGATCACTCCATGGGGAAGGAAAAGCTGCCTGGGTCACTGCAGGAAAACAGGCCACTACAGGCCCATCTCATGTCCTGGAACACATATGATAGTCATTACTTCCCCTCCAGCTCTAAGATCAGTGAGAATTGAACATGAAATACAAACAAAAAGTATTGATTAGTCTTAATTTTAAATTAGCTTAAATCATTTAAATCAGGGCATCTGAAAAATAGTATTCTCCGTAGCTTCTTGATCTCTTCTGGATGCAGGCTGCAAGACATTCAGCACAAAAACAGCTTCCACCATAAACAATAAAAATCCCTTCTTTGTAAGTTTACCCATGGTCATGTTCAAATAGCATTCAGGTAATGTTAGTCAAATGGCCTTCAAAATAGACCACCTAGTCGAACCACTGTGTACCTGCTATATGTTTGAATATTTTTCCTTTTTCCATCTCATGAGTCAGATTGCCATAGCCTGGATCATGGAGCAGTTGAGACAGAAGACTTAAGACTCCCTTTTTGTTCCTGTAAAAACCAAGCTAAAGATGGATTCCCCATGCTCATGAATTCTACAAAACAAACAACTGGCTTCTTGAAATAATGGAACAGAATTAAAACTCCCAGGTTCCTAGAGCGCTACAGAAAGCAGCAGATTGGTTTTGAGATAACTGAGCAGGGGACTGCCAGCTTTAACAGTCTGCCAACAGGCAAACTGGGCATTAATATATTAATGACCTCTGTACACTTCAATAATTGTTTAACAATTAGTCTTATAAAATATTACTTGAATTATTTCCATGTGCTTGCATGGACTATAATTTCCCCTCAGGCAGCACTGTAAGTCTAACTTCTAATGCTAAGTATCAAGTTTCTCTTAATGCAAGTTGTTCAGTTTGAAGGTTTTCTTCCAATATTTAGTGGAAATGTCAACTTTACAAGCCTATATATTTATATAAACACAGTTGTTAGTCTTCTCACATGCCCTTTGTAAAATGTTAACTGCATAGTTAACTCACCATCTCATCAATAGATGTTTTTGGAACACTTTCACAACAACTGTCTTTATAGTTTTATATGGGAATTGTAAGCATCACAACTAGTGTAAAAATTAAGTCACATCCTTTTGAAAGTGAAAGTTTCAGTTTCTCTAGCAATGATTACTAGGAGTTTTTCTAGATTTCAGGTAGTTTTATTTATAAACAAGCTTGCATAAAAGTGTCATACAAGTTAGGCATGAAAATATTTAAGAATCTTAAGCTAACAGAAGGCAACATCAACTATGAAATTACAGCAAACAATTTATCTGTACATCAGAAAGTTACACATATACATTTAATCATAAAACAGTATTTTCTATATATTAATCAAACCCAGCTTCAATACTTTCTGTGATAGTGATACCCCAAAACAGTATTCAGTTTTCTGACCCCCTTTAATGAGTACTTATTTCCTCTATTTTTAGATGTGCACTGCTACCCATTTGGATATTAATTCCACATGGATTCCACATGGATATGACTTCCAACATCACTTTAAATTACATTAACCTTAAAGGCAAAGGCTGTCAATGGTAGTAAACAGACAGTTCATCATCACTCATGTCTGAATCATCTTCATCCACTTCACCTTCAATGACAGATTTCTTCCCTTTGCAGCACGATACAATTAATCCAATTAAAAAGACCTGCAAAATCAGGAGTATGTATTACTGTTACACAATTAAGTGGCAAAGGCAATAAGTGTAAAACTGAACTTAGCACTGTTGTACAAGTGATTCAATGACAACAGCAGTATGTTACTCAACTTGAGTCTTTGATCTCTAAATCACAATACTTACTGCAATGAAGGCCCAGTTTCCAAAGTAATAGACAGCACTGAAGAACCAAAATTTGTGAAGAAAAAGGTATGTCCGAGTAACAATACACTGATCTAAAAAGGAAAGCAATTATTAGTGATGAAACATACAATTATTAGAATTATCCTGCAATTGGAATTAGATAATTCTGAATTTTCAGACAGTATTCTGCTTTTAATTGATTCCAATCAAAATTAAGTCAAACGCACTCTCCACTATTTGAAAGATATTTGTGATTCTGTAGCAGCAAATGTGAAATTGGGTGTTGTTGGAAGCTGGCAGTTACACAAGGAACCCTATCACTCTCAGAAACACCTTCTACAGAAGGCCATCACCACCTATTCTTAGATCTTCTATGCTCCCCTCCCACTTCAGAAGTATTCTGCACCGAAGATACTGCACTGGGAGGCGTAGCCGATACCCCAGAGGGCTGCGCTGCCATCCAGAGGGACCTTAGACAGCCTGGACAACTGGGCGGTGAAAAACCTCATGCAATTCAACAAGGCCAAGTGCAAAGTCCTGCACCTGGGGAGGAATAACCCCAGACACCAGTACAGGCTGGGGACCGACCTTCTGGAGAGCAGCTCTGCGGAGAAAGACCTGGGTGTCATGGTGGATGACAAGTTGATCATGAGGCAGCAGTGTGCCCTCGTGGCCAAGAAGGCCAATGGGATCCTGGGCTGCATTAAGAAGAGCATCTCCAGCAGGTCGAGGGAGGTGATCCTGCCCCTCTACTCAGCCCTGGTGAGGCCGCATCTGGAGTATTGTGTCCAGTTCTGGGCTCCACAGTACAAGAGGGATGTGGAGCTGCTGGAGAGAGTCCAGCGCAGGGCCACAAGGATGATCAGGGGCCTGGAACATCTGCCCTATGAGGAAAGGCTGAGGGAGCTGGGCCTGTTCAGCCTGGAGAAGAGAAGGCTGAGAGGGGACCTGATCAGTGTCTATAAGTACCTCAAGGGAGGCAGTGAGGAGGATGGTGCTGGCCTCTTTTCACTGATGGCCACCGAAAAAAGTGCATTTCAGCACATCTTCTAATGAAATCTACTGGCCAGGGTTGCAGGGATTTTTATGAAAATCCAAGGTAATTGTAAAGTTGAGTTGCACAGGCAAGAGCTACATACCAGCACTTTCATGAATCACAGTGCAGAGGGCTTACGCATTCCCTAACACTATAACTGTAGCAGATTTTGTATAAAAGTAAGGTTTAAGCAGTGTTGCTACATCTAAACAATGTACTTTTTCTCCATTACAAATCTGTAGACTCTGGAAACTTGAGAGAATTAAGAATGTATTTGAGACTTCACACAGGTAGCATTAAGGTTTGTACAGCCTGAAATACTTAAGAGATTATGTAGGAGGGCAGTCAGGAAGACAGGCCAGACAGCACAGGAAATAAGCAGTGGCATCCACATCAAGATGCAGGGGAGTCTCATTCCTCATACTACGCTCCCAGCTATTTAATTCCCATTTTGGAGCAGAAATTGGTATCCAAAGTTTGGACACTACATGCAAATACATGTAAGAATAAGTAAACAATCAAGTAAACAAAAATTTGCTAATTCTTTGCCCAACTCTGACCTTGGTTTTAGCAATACTCTAGGTACACTCAAGCTATACTGACTATGCTCCTTCCCAAAAGAGAATCAAATAAGGGCTGCCTGTAGAGTTTAGCTTTTTAGTCATTTAATAAGCAGGCATAATCCAAAGTCTCTAGAGGGAGATATTAAAGACAACTTTCACATTAGAAAATCCCCTGTTCAACATCCTCTTGAACACCACCATGTATCAGTGAGCTCTTTCCCCAGGAGAGGAAACAAGTCAGTACTCAGGAAGATGAGCTTGCTTCAAAGTGACCCCTTGTCAGGCCAGATCTCTAGTGTCTAGATTATTTGTATCTTAGTAGAACCTTTAAATGTTTTTTTCAGTTACTTTCACCTGTTGATTTTGTTTTAAATAATTCTTCTATTAAGCCCTATTTTACACAGCAGGCTATGATTTCTGGACTCTATTAGCATGAGGGGTTGCAGAAACAGTATCAACAGGTAAAACAACAAGTTGAGACAAATTCAACAGCAGATACTCAGCTTGCACAAGGGAAGTACCCTTTAACATCCTCATACAGCCATGGATGCAGGCATGGATGAAACAAGGGTAAGGGCACAGGGGCCTTGTGTGCTCTCCCCTTAAATAGCTTAAATCTTGTTACCACTGCTAGAATATTTCAATGAACAGACCACAGGTCTCAGTATGACATTTCTCATGCCATTTGTTACAGCTGTGCTAACGCTTTCAAAATGCATCCCCAAGTTGTATTAAAAACAAAACAAATGAACTGACAGTTTAGCAGAAGCTTTGAAAGCTAGAACTAAATGGATAAGTTGGCACCTTGGGAGGACGCAAGCTCCAAGTTTTCCTATGAGGTGATTCTAGTTCAGAAGAGAAGCCCTGACAAATTCAACTGCCAACTTTCTGATACAAAACAGTTGTCACTTGTTGCTTAAACATGCATATAAGACGTAGTACTATACACCAAAACAGCACAGGCATTTAAAAACCTTTCCAAAAGCCGGTCAAAGCTTGTACTTGCTTAAAAGCTTTCCTATAAGACAGACTTCCTTTGCAATGAACACCTAAAGAAAAACAGTCAAGTGTATAAGAGCAAGGTAAGAGTAAACATTTTTATGGACATAACTGCCATCTTAATGCTCAGGCTGTGCGCTAGTAAAGTCAGAATTTTTCCAATCCCAAATATGAGGTAGATAAGAGTTACCACAACAGCCAAAGCAAAACTTCACAGCTTCAAGCAATCACCATGATTTTTGAGCCACTAGAAGCCTTGAATCCCATAAGGCAACCTGGAACATTGTATGTGTTATCCACTCCACCAGGTGTCTTCATCAAAGCTATGTATCAACTGCTAACCAGAGTGGAGAAACATCCAGTTATCATTCAATAGTTATATAATATTCTTCATAGTCGCTACTTGGATGAACTTGCAGACCTGACCCCTACTAGAACAGGGTGAGATAGTTATAGGACAGGAAGAGGCAGAGTGATGATAGAACTTCATTTCTTTCATCCCTACTACCCCTCAGACCTGTGCTAAATTCAGACAACTACTTCAAGTTGCTACCTCAGTGAAGGCCATCCTTAGTCTTCCTTCCTGCTTCGGAGATTAAGATGATCTAAGTTTTATCTGTTCTATATTAAGTTTTATTTGGTCTGAGAGAAGTTTGAACACCTAGCTCTTTCAGAATAAGATCATTTCCTGCATCTCTCATACATGGCTTATTCCAGCAAGATGTATATGCTGTGTTCCTAGGCTGGTGTGTGGCAAAAAGCCTCAAGAGGCTGTAGGTCAGAAGACTACTGCTGTAGAGAAGCCTTTGCATCCTGTCACATGGAAGTTCATAAAATTCAGGTTGGGTTTTGGAAGAACATTGCAGGCCCGTGACAGAAGTTTCTGCCAGCATTGCCAAGTCTCATTCCATTATGCCTTGATCTGAATGTTTTATTTCTAGTGCCTTGGTTACAGACACAATGGACAAAAGGAAGCTGCTGCTGGCTGAAGTCCAAGCTATTTATGGCAAATACCTCTGTCAGCAAATGCTTCTATCCTAGGCTGAGGATAGCACATTTACCTTAAAAAAAACTCCAGCATTGTTCACGGTAAGCAGTCTTTTTTATGCCAAGATCCTACATAAACTTGAACTTCATTTGTTTCTTTTACTTTTTTTTTCCAGGGATGAGTAGTGAACCTGCCTTAGTTCAAGTTTATGCACTGGGGTACTACAAGCAGAATAGTATCACAGTAAAAAAAACTCCAGCATTGTTCACGGTAAGCAGTCTTTTTTATGCCAAGATCCTACATAAACTTGAACTTCATTTGTTTCTTTTACTTTTTTTTTCCAGGGATGAGTAGTGAACCTGCCTTAGTTCAAGTTTATGCACTGGGGTACTACAAGCAGAATAGTATCACAGAAGTACATACTCCAGGCAGCAAATGCAAAGCAGCTGAAGAATGTGCAACATGAATAAAGCAATGAATATTGCAGAGCTCCACAGGATACACAACCTCTACCTCTGACTCCTAAAGACACGGTTAGAATAATTCAATCTGAAAAGACTTGTTCCATTTTCTTGTACATCACAAATCCTCTTTGATTTTTTTATATAAGAGTATAACTTGTTCTGTCACAAGTATTTACATCTAATACTTAAAAGCAGAGCTTGATGTTTTAAGCTTTACCTGCAAAACACAGTCCATTAACACTTGCTTTTCCTTTCCAATGTAGGTTTGATTTGGACAGTCCCCAAGATAGTCTGGACACTACATTTAATAATTCTTACTAAGTAAAGGGCAAAATTTGGTATAGATGAATTTTGTTCAAAAAAATCTAAGACCTGGGTTTTCACAAATATTAAACAGTACATGCACACAGAATATTCTGCAGAGAAAGAGCAAACAGAGCTTCAGTAGTAAAAGCAGATTTATTCACTAACAAGAAGAATGAAAGTAGTGGTAAAGGAAGGCCAAATCCACCTGGAAAGTCAAAAAGATCTGAGCTAAGACAACAGCTCAGAGAAGCTTCTATCCTCCGTCACACCACTTTGTCCATACCCTCCATACGAAAAATGAATTGGGTAGCAAACCCTTTACAACATGGCAATATTTCCTCACATGACATAAGCCATAAAACAAGAGACAGTTTCAAATAAAAGAGACCACTGGCTAACAAAAAACATAACTGGAAATAGGATAGTCAACACCATCCACAGCTCTCTAGATGCTCACCTGAATTAAAGAGCAGTTAGACTCTCACATAGCTCTTTATAGTAATTAGGTTAAATGGTAAATATTTTGGAACAGTTTGACCTTAAGGAAAACATTTCAGTGTCACAGGTTCAGTAACACTTTAATTATTTCTTCTGAACTAAAATATTAAGTAGGCTAATGATTTAACATGTTTTCCTCTAAATTGAATTGTTAGATTGAAGTTAAACACCCTGAAATCAAGGTAACTTGATTATCCAGAATGACATAGCTACAAATTTTACTCTAACATAATCTTGATCATTTAGAGTAAAAGCATGGAAAGCTACCAGTATTCCAATAGATACTGTCACTAAGTTCAGAAGAGAAGCCCTGAAAGGCTTCAGGAGAAGAGTATTTTACATGGTGCTGACTAATCAATAAAGCCAAATATATCTGACATTTGATTAAGACTATCAGTAGATGAAGCCTAAGTCTTAATCAAACACTTCTTTTGAGAACCACATTCACTTGGTAAGTAATGCAGATGACAAGGATAAAAATGCTTCCCCTTGAAAGGGACAGTTTAAAGCACAATTCCTCCATGCCTAACCATAACTAGGTATATTTCCACATATAAAGTCTTTCTTTCAAATCTGTTTCTGCTGTACTAGAAAAGTCAACTTGAACATTGCCTCCCTGCATGACAAAAGGCATCTCACAGGACAAGCCAGCCCTATATTACAATGAAACAAACCAATGGCCTCTGAAATAATGTGAAAAAAGCTTTACTATAGCATTCCCTGAAGAACTGAATAGCATTTTGAGGAAGAGATTAACTACAGCAAGAACAGCTGGTTTTGGAAGCTACAACTTGGGGAATATTTAATTGGATGGACTCTTTTAGTCCTGTCGTACCTCTAGGAGCTAGATGCATCTATCAGCTCCGTTCTCTGCCACAGTACTGTACCAATAACTTAGGAGAAAACAAGGATTTCTGAACTGAGCAGGCACAGGGTAGAGGCACTTAAATCTCAGGTTTGAAAATAGCCTGAGAAACCTGCCTTCACATATTAGTAGCTATGCAATCACAGAAGAAGCACCATTTGCCATCACAGATCTAAAAAAATAAAGGTTTTTACTGAATAGAAAAACAGAGAAATGCTCTTAAGAAATTCAATTAAAAGGATCAGATCTCCCACAATAAAAATAGCAGGGTAACAGAGAGCTCCAACAAAGCCTCTAGTTTTAGAGGGACAACATTCTCCTGGCAGCAACATAATCAGCTTGTTTATCTTTTTAGATAAAATAGATTAATCTTTGTGACTACAGATACTAGAGTACATAAATTTGTTTCTCCTGCAATCAACAGTTTATTAACATCAGAGCAAGGTTAGTCAGTTTGTACTAATCAAACTGACAAAAGATACAGTCCCCATGCCATGGAATCGCATGACAGAGCTAAGTGCCCACAAAAAACCCACAACCTTAAGCTAGGGCAGAGATCAATGAATATTTAATATAATTCAAGACCCATACAGACATGCTGAATATTTCCCAGGCCATGGAAAACAAGCCTTTTTTTCCCTTCCTCTGGAAAACAGCAATACTTCCACTTTTAGCACAAGCAGATCCCCAGTGATCGCAGTCTCTTTCACTAAAGGAGAGGAGTGCCACAGCTCTGTAAGCCATCAAGAGCAGCACATTGTTGTTCCCATTTATGCAAATGGGGAAAAATGGGGACCTGCTACAACAGTTCTGTTGGTTACCAGCAATACTGACAATAGAGGACAGCTATTTGTCTCTACCAATCACTGAACACTGTCAAGCCTTTTCATAAACATATCCTGTGTACATATTAGAGTTCTTCCTGTAAAAAAAGTTTGCCAGACTGAAAATAATGCATAAGTTCAGCCTGAAGTCTGGAACACTTTGAAGACCATAAATCTGTTCCCTAGATCAATTTAAGCAAAAGACCAAGGAGATCATTAAAATTGATGGTGACCTTAAGCTGCAATACCAATATTGCAGCACCATGTGTAATTCAGATGGTGAGTCCTGTTTCATTAAGAAGCCAAGGTAATGCAGTCATGCTGAATTTGTTCTCAAAAAGCATTTTGTCCTTCCTCTTGCCCTGCATATAAACAGCTTTTGAACATATTCCCAATTTCACCCAAGCTCCACAGAACAAGAACGATGACAAAGTTAGTGCTACCAGTCTCTTAAGCAGCCTACGTAGATGGAATATCATGGAAGGCTCCACATTATCCCTCTGCTAATCACTACTCAGGCAGATCCAAGTTACTTTCAGTGGCTTCTGCCCGGATAGCAGGTCAAAGCAGGATGGATAAATACAGTAGGTGAGGAAATACTGTACTGGACCTCAAAAATGAGGTAATCAAAATTGACATGAGGATTTCAGGAAGGCAGCCTACAAGGTCAAATTCCCTTGGTAACAACACTCATGCAGATGCTACAAAGATTTGAACTTCTCTTTACCATTTCACTAAATTCCACACTTGTGTTACACAATTTAGAATACTTAGTGCATGTCTAAAATACAAATCTGCTAAAGCAAACATACATTAAACCAAAGGTAAGACTTAGCAAACTGGAATGCACTGTTGCACATACTTCCCCTAAAAATAATTACTCAAAAAATTTAGTAAACTAAAAGGTAATGCTTGTTTTCTGAAAGCAGTCAACGAGGCTTTACCTTACAGTAAAGCATATGCCTCAAGCCATCAGTATATTGAACAGTTTAGTATAGCACATCATTCCTATACAAGGAAAGTTATAACAAGACAAAATGCATCTTACCTTCAGGTGCATCTGCATCACAGTCCTTGGACACAAACGTTGTCACATTTTTTGACTGGCCATCAATTGTCTTATTACTCTGCATAAGAAATGTGCAATTAATAGGCTAGCCCACAAAGTGTTCTTCCATACAGTGATGGTTCCCTAAGCATCTTTCCATTGTTTTATAAAAACAAAGTTGGGACAAACCTTGCTGTTCAAGAATAAATCTTAATATTTGCATACTGTATATTGTAAATATGGCACATCATTTAAGGGTTATATAGTATGAAATTTTCTAAATATTTACCTAAAAAAATCACTACTCATTTGTTTTTAAATTCACTCAAAATAATCTTTACTTAAAAACAGTCTTTTAGTCTTGCATAAGAAATTGAAATTCATGTTTAGTGATGAAGACAGGGCACATCAGGCTCATATAATGACATTGTGAATTCAGCTTCTTCCTGGATCTACTCCAGAAGATGGTATCCAACATACTTAAGTAAGTACAGTAGAGGGAGACAAGTTACTGAACTGCTGAAAACCCAAGCATTCCTGTTCAAATATTTTGCTGTATCACACCTTACAAAATCTGGCTATATGGAAATAGATGAAACCATAATTGTCTTGGAAGCAGATTATAAAAGGAGTAAGATCACACACTGAGGAATTGGGAACCAAAGGGAAAACAAGGTAGTAAAGAGCAACATGCAGACAGAAGCAATAGGACAGGAACAGCAGCTTCCATTAGCACACACTTATTACAGGGGCCCAGCTGCATCAGGTACTCCAGCTGACTGCCACCACTGCATCTGCCACTGCTCAGAGGGCTTCTCAGAAGAGTAATATGGTAAGAGAACACAGAAAATGATCAGATTTACTGCTTTGAAATTTCACATTTATCATTTAAAATTTTGCTTATAGAATCTAAGGAACTTAAAAATATCTAGAACTGCATGTTTCCTTTGATGATTCCCTTGCCATTCTAGCCTGGTGTTGCTCTCATTCTCTATGAGCACTGAATTTAGACTCCTCATATCTGAGTTCAACTCTAAACACTTCCTAGAAGCTCAAGGCATTGGACTATTCCTTGAAGGTGTACTGAAAATTTTCTATCTTCATACAAACTGACACCAAAAATGTTAAATAGGGATAAAAACATTTCATGGTATTACCCTTCATGACAAGACAGTGATTGCATTTGCTTTGGTAAGAGGAACAGTAGCCTCACTGACCCTGTACCAGTGTTCCTCATCACTACTCATTGTCTTTGAAAAACTCGAAAGATACTTTATTTTTTCTGTTTATTATGAAACAGCATGGACATATGTCAAAGACTACACTGGATGTAGAAGTTGCCAAGGAAACTCACATAATGAAAAGACTAAAACATACTGGGACTGTTTATCTAGAAGAGAACTGAACAGATGTTGACCAGGAGCTTTTGTTTATATTCATAGCATAAAAATCAAGTTAATTGGGTCTGAAAGCTGGCAAATTAAGAGAAAGCAAGTTAAAAATAACATTAGTATATCAGCTGAGGTTAAAAGGCACTTCTGAAGACTGTCTAATTCTCCCTCTTAAACAGGCTCAACTGCCTCAGGTTGCCCATGACTATATCTAGTAGGGTTTGAGTATCTAAAAAGGGGAGACCAGAGTCTTCTTTTCCAGAATCTCTACTACTTTCCAGTAGTGTTTTACCATGATGATTTACTAAGCATTTTCTTCCATTTAATGCATCCATTGCCCTTGTCTCAACACTAAACCACCAAGAGTGACTCTATCTTCCTTAAACCCAGCCAATCATATTTAAGAGCACTGATAGAGTTGCCCCTGTCCCCCAAGGCTCTCTCTCCAGAGGAAGCAACCCCAGTTCTCATCTCTGCACACGAGATGTTCCAAGCTGTTGGTCCCCTTGGTGACCCTTGGCATTCACTCCAGAACAGCCATGTCTTGCACTGTGGAGCCCAGGGATGGCCAGAGCACTCCAGGTACCTTTCACTTCTGCTGACTGGAAGAGAAGGACCACATGCCTTCCCATGCCAGCCACAGCTCTAAGTGCAGGAGGTTGACATGCATACAGCTTCCACCAGCAGAAAACACGACATGCACAAAATTGATCCTTCTGCTGCCCAGCTCCTGCATATATTCCTGGCTGCTCAGTTCCAAAGGATCTGAGATTCTAACTCCTCACAGCCTAATCTCCAACATCCACAAAAAACTGTCACCCCATTAGAGCCACCACTTCTCCTTATTTCAAAAGGAAAATTATATCTAGTAATCAAGATAGCAAGTACTTTTCCTGGAGTAAGATTAAGCTCTGGAAGATGCTTTGAGGGTACTCCTTTAAAAACTCATGTTTAGCTGGTATGCCAGTGGGAAATCTGGATGAATTTTACTAGATATTCTTTATGTTTAATGCTATTTTAGCTTTTAAAAACTGTTTCTGCTTATTCCACGCAGCATACAAACTGTTCCCACATATTCTATGCAAAAATAGATGAGATTCAAAAGGCCAGTCATCAACATAACATTTTCATCCTGTTCACATCCTTTCTGTAGTTCTGGGAATTACTTTATTCCAATGGCAGTCAAGCCACCTGGACAATAGCCTCCCTATTGCCATGCCCCATTTTTGACCTTTTAATTACAAGCTTATATAGATGTTATCCAAGCACAGACATAACACTTCACATGTTGCCACAATTTAACTCTGGTCCTCTAATCCCTGCATGTAAGCATTTGCACATTTCCTATGCACATTTATCACACAAGCATATAACCTTTCCTAAGCTAATTTGTGAACCTATTTTTAAGTGCTGCTACACTAATTCTGAAAATGAGCCACTCAGTTTAGAGATGCCCAAGTACACCTATGTTATACTGATAGCTAGTATGCAAGATTTAATGCATTTTGATCAGTTCAAATATTGAATATTCTCTATAGTAGCCCCATTATTGGGTTTAAATCACATATTACAACAAATCTCCTGACCAGAGAAAATCTGGACATGGTAAGAGAACTAATATTTATTGAATGCTTCATTTTCTACAGTGAAAATTCTACTACATCCACTCAGCACACTAAGGGAGCTGACTGGGTTCCACCTCTGTGGTATATAGAAATACTACTTCAATTCCTTGAATTTTTCCTTTAAAATAGTCATTACAGAGGTTTTATAAATAATTTATTGCTTTAATCTTTTCTGTTAATTAAGGCTTTCTGGAGAAAAGTATATTCTCCCACAAGCACAGTCTTTTGGAAGTCTAACAGAAATATTCAAAATGCTCAAGCAGTACCCAGTTATCCATAATCCAGATCAAATCCCAGACAGATGAGCTCATTTTTTTGTCTTTTGCAAAACAGAAGCCCAACAGAAACACCGATAAATCTAGACATTGCTATGCCTGAATGAGCAACCAGTTCATGAGCCTGCTGCTTGTCTACATTTAATCAGAGCTAACATCTACTCCTGTTAGACTAGACTTGTGTGAACAGACTTGTGTACGGCCTTTCCAATAAATATACAGGTCTTCACTCACCAAGAGTGAAACAAGAGTGAATATAAGAGTGAATGTCTTCAGGCACAGCCAAGACTAGAGAAAAGAAACTTAGAAGTGCAATAATGAACAAAAGCAGGGCGTAATGCTAACTGCTTAATTCTGTAGACGGTTTTAAAGCACAAGAACTGGAACGAGTTCACTGAAATAAGATGCAGTGCAGTCTGAAGTGGTATTAATCAGTAGGCACTTAACTTTGAAACATTAATTTCTCTGCAATACTAAATAAAGATATTAGCTTAAGAGCAACAATATGCTACATAGGCAGACTTTCACAAAAACCTAAGCATCACTGCAATCATTCAGCATCATAAGTGTACTGGAAGGAGCATAAAAATCTAGGAGGCTAGCAGTATCTTGATACAAGATAAAGCAGTAGCCAAAGATTTATACTGTCTAAAGATGATCCAGGAATTAAAATTTGCAGTAATACAGAATTGCTTGGTACAGCATAAACCAGAAATCTACTAATAGCTGAAAAGATAGCTGCAAGACTTCAAATTGACTTTTGTGCCTAGCTTTGAAAGTTATTGTGAACAGTTAAACCATTTTTAAAAATTAGAATGTCAAGTTACTTTAAACATATGTTACATCTTACCTGTACCAAGTATTTTTGGCTTCCATACATGACATATTGAGGGGCAAGACTGTAGATCATGTAGCTTGTATGAAGAACTATCAATAGAAGTATCATACAGAGAAATAGGAGTGCTTGAGGTCGAGTTTTTCCTCTTCTAATTTTATAAAGCTAAATCAAGAAAACATACAAATATTATCATGATGAATTCTAGTTGACAACTGTAATTCTTCTTTAAGGAACAGTAGTCTCCCACTTTTCTTAAGTTGTCCTCTAGCAACTCAATTTCAGTAAGTCAGAGTAGTTTTCAACTGAGTTTAGTCAAATATAGCACAGCTATTTTACCAAAAATTCTAGTTTTGTCTGTATCAATGACCAACATGATTCACAAATCAGCAGGCTCCCCAGCAAGATTTAATTTGTGTTGCTTATTACAGGTACTGCCTGAATTGTCAAGCCTAGTATTCTGTCTTATTCTGTATGAGCTGCCATCTATCCCTAACCCTCCCATCTGAGTTAGGAGGTAGCTGATATATCATTCCCAAGCATTAAAACTTGGTCATTATGGAGTTGCATCTTTTCTACCTTGTCCTACAGGGAATAGTAATTCCCTGCTGCTACCTGTAGATAACCATTGCTCCTCTGTAATCATGAAGTGCTCAGCGCTACACTGGGGAGAGGTATCAGCTAAGGGAGATGAACACAGTATGCATCCAGCAGCTTTTTTTTTATTATTATTATTTATTTTTTTAAAAGAACCACCTCATTGTCAGAGTCACTGTTCACAATGTTGGGGCATCACCATTTGAGTGACAGCAGTAAAGGAAGAACAGCAAAAGCTAAAGTTACTGAACCAAGCATCATAGACATGAATGACATACTGCTGAATAAAAAACACTTTCAGCAAATACAATGTACTTCATGTCAAATAAATTTGGTATTGTATTTAGATAACTCATAGCATCATTGTACTACCTCTTATCTAGATGTACTTGCTTCCCACCTAAAAAGCAAGTCTGACAGTACTGTATACATGTTTCAGACTAATTTTGATCAAATTAAAATGCTTCTACTATCATCAGCATCTGACTTTTCTAAGCAGTAGTAAGTGCCACATGATTTGGCACTTAGGAAATGAGTCAGTGTTTAACCACACTAAAACACTAGGTTTAGCTTCACAGGAGCTGCTTTAAAAATAATTGAAGTCATACAACAGACAGTATTCGTTACATATCATAAAAATGAATTCTTGTTTAAAACCCAGTGTTTATGATGTAGTAAAATAGCAGCTCCATAACAAGTATATTCAAATTGCTATATTTTTTCAAACACCTTAAGAATTTAGCTTAAAATACTCAGTGATATTTACCCTTATCCAGAAGAACCATATACCCATATTTCGAATCCCTGCCATCGAAGTGAAGATGAAGTACATAACAATAGTTGTAATAAGGATATAGTCAAGTGGAAAAACCTAAAAACAAGAAGCACAGTCAGTGGAAAAAGGATAATAAAGTGTTCAAATTAGAAGCAAGGTCTTTGCCCAAATGAAGCTAAGTACATTCTACTGGTAGCATTTGATGTAGTGTACAGTCAGCTGCAAACCAAGCCAATTTGTTTGGAAAAAACTGAACACTTTTCCTAGCTTAAAGATTGCCTTAATTTTGAATGAGGTGTTGCACATTTCGGGCCTAGAAATACTTAATTCCATTCTGAGTGGTTTTAACATGAAGTTCACAATGGCATCAATTTAGGATGAGACAGACATTTTATGTTTGTATGAAAATATCTCCAGTAATGTTCAAAGTCATTGATTTTACACTAGAAAGCCCAAGTTAAACCCTCTTTCGGTATTGTATGCTACAAAAGTAATAACTTGATAGTTTAGAAACCTTGAGATGAGCAGTATGTTGTACCAAACCAGTGTACATGAAGACAGCTTAGTGGAGGAGAGAAAAGCACTGGCTTACATTAAGGTTCATTTTTGTTAGCTCACTCTTGACTGATTGCCAAATTGATACATGGCTTCATTGCCTTTTAGCCCTACTCAAACTAATAGCTTGTTCTTATGGAGGACTTGTTCTAATCTTAAGAATTGTTTTAAAGTGCAATAAATAAATTCTGCAGAGCTATACGGAGTATAGTGTAGAGCTGTATACCTTTCAAAGCATAATTAATATTAAAGAGCAAATAATGCACTTATTACATTGTGGGAAACGACTCAGACTCAAGCTTTACTGCACAAGCAAAAGATGACATGTGTTCCCTTTCAGTCTGAGCACAGCCACCCCAGCTGGTATCATTTTCTTCTTAAGTTCTTACTAGATGAAAGTTATCACTGGAGGAAATAGTTGTTGCAACAACTGATTCCCATCTAAAGTTTTCACATTAATACCCACTGATAACTAAAATAGTTTAAAGCAGCCATCTTTCTCTTACAGAACATGCAGTTTTCCACTGAATTACTTGAAGTGCAGTTTGCCTTCTGGCAGCTTACCACAAAACAGGAGCAACCTGATTTATATAATTTTTTTAAAAAAATTTTTTGCTGATTTTTTTAAATCAGCAGCTGTTTACTTACTGTTTGAAGAACAGGTAAAAGCATATTCAACGGATTGGTCAGATTAGTTCCTAAGATTATAAATCCAGAATCGAAGCCAGCTGAATGTAGAGCCTTGTCCAAACTGCAGTAATGAAAAACTGGTTAAGTACTATGATCCTTCCAAAGCTTTGTCTTCAATTTGATTCCAACTATTTCAGTTTTTGCCCTAGTTCTATATGGAGGTTGTTTGCCCAGTCTCAAAAATACATGCCAAAACTGAGATCTCAGGTTGAGATATCAGGTCAAGTGTGAGTCTTCATTAAAATCCACCAGATTTAGTTGTCTACATTGCTTTCAACTTCATGAAACAATTGTTAATAGTGCACAGTACATGTTACTCATTGCATGAATTTAAGTATTAGCTCAACAAGTATCTCTATATTTTGATTCACTCAAACATGACAATTACATGGTCTGAATAAATCTTTAAACTATTAACTGAATTCCTCTGCTGAATTAGAATACTTCCAGCACTACATAGTTTGAAGGACTTAGTTCAACTTGGTGAACTGTTTTAGCAAATTTAATTTCAATACATGCTATTATAACAAGAGTGGCAACAGTAGTTACAGAAACATGGGATAGGAAAGAGCATGCTGACTCTTGAAGCCACTCCTTTATATATATATAGGCCAACTGATTGATATTAGAATAAAGACTAGAAAATTTAAGCTGGTCAGAAGAATGTTAAATATACTTACTTTGACAAAAAGAGAGACACAGTGAAGAGCAACGCCACAATGGCAAAGAACACTCCCCACACAATCTAAAATAAAGACATTAGAATGTAACTGAAAACACTTGAAGTTGAGACAAAAGTAATGTACTAATTCAAAAAGAAAGGAATGTAAGCCCTGAACACACAAGCATGTTTAATTTCATTGCAATATGTTTAATTTCACTGCAAGGAAGTGCTTAACTGAACCAGACTTCTTGATCTGAGCAGGAGGACTATCAGATGATGTTAAATAGCTTTTAGACTAGAATAGGTGAAAACAAAACTTCCATTTCAGCCAAGCAGCATACAGAGGAATTCAAGAATCCACATCCTGTATTTCTTCCATTCACCTTTCCAGAGCAGGGCATCTATATCCACCCCAGCTCAACTTGTGCATCCCATTCCATAACACAGGCACAGCTACCACCTTGCTCTCATAGCTGATCAGCTAAATGACCTGGTGTAACTGCCTGCTTGGGTCTTCTGACCTGGTCTGCTCTGCAAGCAATACTTATGCATAGCTGCCACTGAACCATGTATTTATGCAAGACTACAGTCACTAGAAAAAGCAGGAGAAGGAAAGCTACCTGCTAGCTGCAGCTTCAGATGAGCAACTTGGACATCTTGGAATTAGAAAGCCTCTATACCAGTAGATAAGGTTGAAATGGAGGACAGCAAGAAATAATTAACTTAAAGGAGCAGCCATCACCCACTAACAAAGTAGAGAAACTTGATGACAAAAGCAACCCTATGAACAGTTTCACTGATCAAGAATCAGAGCCGCAGTCCTTGCAGGCTGTATGGCATTTTTACATTCTCCAGATTGCAGCTTACTTGGTAACAACCTTTAACCCATGTTACATAAAACACTACCTAGGAAACAAGCTCTACACTTTATGCAAGCTTAAGACATAAGAGAATCACACTTGTTATGCTGCCAACCTCCCTGATGTAGAAGCAGCTACAGGGGCAGAAAGCCTGTGTCAATCTAACCACAGTGCTTCTGACACAGCTCAACTGGCAAACAACTGTCAGCACCTACAATCTGCACTAAAACTCTGCAGAGTTAGTGTTAAAAGCCTTGCATGAAATTGCCTACAGCTTTCCTCTTTTAGCTGTCCTGAAATAGAGAAAAAGGTAAGGAAGAAAGAAAGGGTCTGAGATGAATAAACTAGCCCTCCACACTACAGCAGCATTAACTACTATACTTCTCTGAAGGCTTTCAGCAACAGCTGGAGAGACTAAAGGGTTTGATTTCAAAATCAAACCCTCATGATCCTCAAAATTAAATAGGGGAGAATCAATAGCAATCACCTCCTCACCACAGGGGAAGTGTGCCACTTACCTAGAGAACACTATGTTCTCCTGTTCACAGCACCTCCCATGTAGTTGGGCTGATGTTGATGCTTTCAAGCCCGTGCTTAAGCTAAGTCACTCAAGTTGGTTTCCTGTTCTCACAGGTCCCATCCTCAAAACCAGTCACTATTACATACATTAGGCATCTCTTCAGTTCTCACAAGCAGCCCTTGTAAGCCTGATGCAATACTCTGAGCTTTCTACTGTTGAGGAGAGCAAGCACAACTCCTGCCACCTGCATACTCTGGAGTTCTCCTGAAGAGCTTCCTAACTGTTCTACATTACACATCATCTCTCTTGCTGCTGCAGGTGCTGATGACTGAAACCATACTAAAGAAAGGTGAAAGCACACAATGGTCTACAGAAAAGGTTATCCTAATTTGATTTCTTTCTACAGTAGAACAACATGTCTTGACAATCCTATGCCGCTGTACTATTCCTCTTGTTCTTGACTAAACTGAAAACAGATAGGTCCATGTTAAAATTCAATTTAGCTTTGAGTAAAGCAGAAATTATCACAATTTCAGTCAAAAGAAATTCTTTGAAATGATTAAATTCTGGTCTTGTATGAAAAAGTACATGTTAGACTTAACCAAAAATACTTCAAAAAGAGTACAAGAGGAGTCTATACAAACTGCAATGCAATGGCAATATGATTATAGAAGTCTAGAGCTACCAGACAGTAGCATTAAAAATCTGGCTAAATTTTCCTGAACATGATGTCATTACACCTGTAAGTTCTTGCTGGGACTTACAACTCCTATCAATCTGACCATCCCAAACAGATAGCAATGGTGCTTTCTCAAATTACAAGAGTATTTGTAGTGAGAAACTGCTAAATATGGAAAGGGACACATTCTTAAACAGATGCACTCAAAATATTTTAAGACTAAATGTTACATTAAGGACTAGAATCGAAGCATTATAAAAGCAATTAGCAAGGTTCCAAGAGATTCCCTGTCATCAGAAACATATGACCACAAAATAGATTTACCTCTTTAATAAAGACAACTCTGAATCACTGACAAGTCATGTTTGTGCAGAGACAAGTGGTGGACACCATCAGCTTTGTAGGGCAGGTTTAGGCAAATTCATAATATAGACAAGCCTAGAACATGCTTCTCAATGCAACACTATTCTGAGAACCTGTCAGGGGATCCCAGGAAGTCTTGGATTCCTAGGCTGTCGGTTATCCAAATAATGGTTTTAACAGCAAGATGTTTGCCATTTAAATGAAATTGATAAAATATGTATTTCTGAGGTATCACAGAAAAATAATTCTTTCAAAAAATTCACATTGAAAAACTCTACCGAGATTAACATTTCACATTCAACTTGACTTTTAGCCTGTTTCTAGGAATATTCAACATCAACACTAACAACAACATTACGATATTGCTTATAGTTCCTCCTCTGCAAGCTTTAAGTAGTATAAGCTATATTTAAAGTATTTGGTTTCTAAAATATGCCAAAACCATCTTGGAAGTTCAGGAAAACAGATCTTTCCCTGTATGACCTAGTGACAGTGAGTGTTAGCCTTTTCGATTTTGCCATAACATCTTAGAAATAAGTAACAGCTTATTTAAGAGCTTAGATATCTACCAGCAGTAGGGCAACCACTGGTGTAAGGAAAGAGTAAAATAGTTGAGATCCAGCATGTTAATACAATAAGATTGGCTTATGATTTAAGGAAGGAAATCTGGAAGTTGTATATGTAATTTAAGTATCAGGGAAAGTGAGGACTTGTTACCTTTAGAGGTCGCAGAGCTTCACAGAACTTGGCCCACCAGCTTTTTTCAATAAATTCCAGATGTCTCTCTCTCCTTCGAAGTGTCCTTAGTCTCTCTTCAAGCTGGTGTACAGCCCGTCTATCCCTTGATGACAGAGGCCGACCATCTCTGCACTGATGATCAAAATACCATGTATGAGATTAAGACAATTGAAAAGAGTTTTACCATCCAATAGAGCCGCTATGACTTGATAGAGGCTGGCTATATAATGAGGCATGTCATTTCTACACCCAGCAAGAGGTAAAAGTCACAAGTTGCCACAAGGGAAATTCCTATTAGGTGGTAAGAAGAAAAGTCCCAGTGAGGGTGGTCAAAAATTAGACTAGCTTCCATAGTTGGAGATATTTAAAATGTCCAGATGCAAGCTGAACATGTGATCCAACTTGAAAGAAGGAAATTGCTTTATATAGGAGGGTAGACCCTATGAACTCAAAAGATCTTTTCCAACCATAACTCCATGGCATTGCATCCATATATTTAAGGACTTCAGCTTAAGGAGTTAGACTGTCAGCTGAAGGCTAGCATTATCATTAACTAGAGTACAGAGTACTAATGTTGGACAACTGAAAGAAAAATCCTAACTTGTATTACACAACTTACTGTTTTTCTTCCCAAATGCTCAAAAAACAAAACTGAAAACTATTCACTTGGAATTGGTCCTTCTTTCAGCTGCCTGGAACAAAAGCTCAATGCAGTATACCCATAAACTGGTAAGACAAGCAAGAAAGATTCATTAAGGCAAACAGTGGTGATCACCAAACCTTTGATTTGATCCTTGATATGTGCTGTTCCACTTCTTCAATATCTTCTGTGTTCTCCAAACGTTCATATGCTGCACTGGTAGTTCCCTTAATCAAGTTCAGAGGCAAAGCTGACATACCATAAGCCTAAAATAGCAAGACAAGATACATACTCAAAGTTTCTGCTACATGCTTTTGTTGATAAGCCTATGTTGTAGTTATAGTGTATCGATTATTTTTCCCTTTGACAGATTAGAAAAAAATCTAAATCTTCGTACGAGCAAAACAAAAGTCTAAAACATGCCATGCTGATTCTAGTGTCCTACATTGCTCCTGCTCCCACAGTACTTGGCCTTCTCAGGGTCACTGATGCTATGGATGTGTGAAAACTTCCTGAACACATACCTGACTGAGGTTCTTAAGGCTGCCTACATTTCCTCAGGTCACTTACCCTCCCAAAACCATAGCTTCCCTACTTTAGAAGGTAATAAAAGTAGGGTATAATACAGAAATTAGATATATTAAGTTTAAAAAAGCAATAGTAGTAGTAAAATGCACATACAATTTCTCTAGTCTAGAGCATTTAGCTTCGACTAAAGTCAAGTCACCAAGACACCAAACCAGAAACCTTGTTTACTAAAAACTCCTGCAGCAAAAATATAGGCAATGCCTAAAATCAGTTAAGTTCAAAAACTTTTTAATGGGCAAATAGGTATCTTTCTTCAAGACTTACTCCTAGCTATATGTCCTATATTGTCCAGTTTCTTCTGGACAGTTTCTATATAATATTTCCTATACCTTAAACACATTTCTCTAATGTAGAGCCTGTAAGCTCCTTTCCACTGATAAGAAAACACAAGTATATCAGGTAAGATGAATAAACAACTCAGTTTGTTCCCCTGTCCCAACATCCATGAAGCTGATCAAAGGCAAGGTCAGAAGCTTCTCTATACAGTTTCATTATTGCCATAAGCTCTGATTTACTGAGGGTGGGAAGTTGCCCATGAGATTGGCAGTTTTCTGGAACAGACATCCTTAACAAGTACCTACAACTCACTAGAGTTCTTACAACTGCTCAATTCTGAAATTACACGATGTTCAGATATCAAGGCATGCTCCCTCACTTGGGCACTGCTTTACAGTTCACTGAGGACAATATTCAAGACTTGAATGCTAACATAAGTGTTCACAGAAAAATTAGCTTTCTGGGAAAGAAATGTCTGACCAGCTTGAAAGCCTATTTTGATACACTTATCTTTTCAGACATCATACAGCAAAAAGGCTACCCAACCTAGTGTACTTCTCAACCTGTCATATACCCTGTTACTAAGCCCCCAAGCTACTCCAACCATTAAAGACCTTATTTACTAGTATTGTGTCCTGCTGCTAAATAGGATTTTGAAATACATTTCACCAGGTCCACAAGCTCACTCTGCAAGTGACACTATTCCATGATTAAGTGATATTCCACAGAACAAAACAAAGTTCACCTGTTGTGGAAATAGACCTATGTTCACAATGACAACTACAAGTTATTTGAACAGTGCCAGAGTTCCTTATAGGAAGAACACAGCACATTTCCGAGCAGACTTTGAACCCAAGAAAAGTGGTATTTATGTTAAATTATTTTAAAATATATCACGAACAGGAAGAGTTTTCTTCTAAGAAATAGTTAAATATGTACTAGTGAAAAAACTTGTTTGCCTAGACCTTTAATAACTTGCAATTCATGTAAGCTACAGAGTATTAGAACTGATTTTTAAAGATATTCACTCTCAAAAAATTGGGATGACTATTAGCTATCTGCTCAGCAACTCAGGACTTCAAAGCTGAGATTTCCTCATTCCTCACCCACAAAAACAGTTTAAAACTTTTTGCAGCACTCTTACAGACTAATTCTATAAAATTAAATGCCATTTTCTTCTGCCACAAAAAGTAATCATTTTAGGCATTGCATTAAGGCTAAATGATGTACAAAATATTCAAGCAAAGATCTCTGGTATGAGGCTAATAATGGCAAAAAAAGAAATCACTTTGAAGACCTGAAGTTACTTGACTGCAAGTCATACAAGTCTCCACCTACAAAACCAAATATTTTAGCTAAAAATGATTTTAACTTCAGCCAAGCTTTAAATCTGTACCTATGGATGCATTTCAGCCATAAGCAATGACTTCCACCTGTTATTCAAACAGCAACCATATGTTAATAGATAGTTTTATTTCTGAGTAAAGCACAACTCCATTGTGCTTTGTGGAAATTCATTGGAAAAGCAACATTTTAACCTAAGTGAATTACATGCTTGAAGGTCAAGCTCACTCCAATTATGGCAGTCTGAGTAAATCCCTTCTTTGACTATAAGAGACATTAACACTAAGTGATATAAGTATGCAAATAAGCCTCTAACCATCCACAGGAAAAGCCACATTGGCCCCTCAAGATATTAATGCACAGAACAAGGGGCAGAGATGAGTCATTCCATGAGAAGTGTCACAGGCCTGCACAGAAACTAGCAGTAGTTCGGCCTGAAGCAGTACATCCCTTCAGGCTGATGCAGAAGGTCAAATCTTCTTGATCAAATTACTACTCTTGGTTTGTACAAGTGTTAATTTATTCATGGACTAGCATTTTAGGAATCTGCAACTCAAGAAGCAAAGATAACAGAACAAGAAAACCAAGTCAATGTGCTCAAGCTAAAGCCAAGATTAAAAACAATCCTGGAGAGTTACCGAATCAAGACTGTAAAAGACAAATCAGAAATTAAGTTTAAGAGTTAATTTTACACTTGCATTTTGAATAAAACCCTCTCAGCGTACTTAAACCTCTAATACAATTTTCCAGGATTTGTTAGCCAACCTTTGCCTAGAAAGGTTGTGCCCGACAGAGGAACTATACTAAAAGCAGCCGTCCAATTATAGCAAGCAATCACAACACATTTTGTGGTATTTCTCCACAGGTTCCTCAAAGTGACCTGAGCTGGTATTAATCACTAACTAGGGGAAGACCCACAACTTTGCAGTTTAAGTAACTTAAATTGCCCTTTTCACCCCCCATAAGTGATCCATAGAAAAGGTTCACCTCTTTAGGGCCTAGAAAGCCTAACTACAACCTCATCACCTTGTGTAAGTAAGCGGCATCACTGCAGATGTGCCCATCGGCCCACATCAGCACTTGGGGCAGATGCAGCTATTTCACCTACACTTCAGATATTTCTTGAAGGCTTCTTTTATTTGAAAGAGACAGAAGAAAACCAGCATAAGCAACACAAGATAACTGAACCCAGGCTACGGTGTTGAAGGAAACAAAACTTTTAACATCATTAGCTATTCACAGCAGCAGCTAGAAATTTGCCAGAAATCTGATATCAGTGAGCCAGGAGCCTTTAAGTCAAAAGAAAACAGCAAAAGAGAATTCAGAAATACTTACACAGTATGGGTAAGAGTTCATGAACAGCAAGAAACTTGAGCTATTTTCTGAATACTATCCTATAGGTCCCAAATATAATTTACACTCCAGACAGATAGAATCAGTTACCTCTTTTGTAGTTACATATTAGCATTACTTATGGTTTAGCATAATCTTTAGCCATGTTACTTTCTATCCTGATATATCAGCAGCAGATCCAGCTGTTCTCACATTATACTGCGAAGACTAGAGAAACAGGCCTTGAAAGGCTAATTCAAGGCATCTCTTGCAAACAGTGTCTAACAACTCACTTCAGGAGTTGCTGAGTTCACAGCCCATGGACAGATAAGGCAGAACCTCAACAGCTACCCCACTGATACCAGCACAAGGTTCAAGTGCTTGCAGCAGCTCCTGTAAGAGTAACTCCACAGCTTCTTATCTCAGCTTCATTTGTTTTTCCAAACTTGTATAATAAAAAGAATTCACTTTCCACTGAGAAGCATAACCACTAGTCTAACTTTAAGACAGCACAAGCTAAAAATATTCCATGAGAAATAGGTACATTAAGCTAGGAGTATCTAATAGGTAGACAGATCAGGCTAAGCATACAAAAAGTTAAGTGAAATCAGTAATACCAACACCTTTATAAAAGGCATCTATAGTTAAGTGAATCTGCTTTGAACATCTAATGCAAAAAGCCTGAAGCCATCGAGGTATTACAGCTTAATTTGAAGTTAATTATGTTTCATATTCTACATCTGCTGTGTCCCATTAATATTGCCTAATGAATAAAGTGTCACAAACAAGACAATCTCTCCTTGCTGCATGGCAAGCAAAATAGATTTAAATTTATTTCTTAATTTAACACAGTTAGTGCCATAATGGGATAGTTTACCAGATTTAGCAGATATTAAAAGCTAAGCTTATGACTTCAAAAAGTACTTCCTGGGTAGCAGAAAGATCCCCTGCTGCATATATTTTAGGTCCATGTATCAAACAGAAGTGGCTTTTAAGGGCTATCACCAAGGTGTTTTAAAACATATATATGTTTGTGCAACATGTTTGTCAGAACTTCTGCACATTAGTTACATAGCACTGCCCTCTAGTGAAGTCACACAGAACAGCCAATGAAAATATCAGAAAAGTCCACTGATTATTCAGACTTCTACCTTAGAGTATGACCAAGTGCAAGAATTTTACATCTAAAGGCTTTAAATTGAATAGATGTGTTTTTAATAAAAGGCCTTGTGCTAATAATTTAAAAGAAACAAGTTAAAAGAAACAAGCTCATTTCTGTTTAAATAGAAAGTCAGAAAATATCAAGAATGTTTTGCTATAGAAGAGGTTTCTAATCATTTCATAAAAAGCTTCTTATTTATGTCTTAGAGTTGCATTACAATGCCTTTTTCCAAACAGCCTTTGCTAGAGCAACCGGTTCAGGTCAGACGACTGCTAAGCAGTGTCTCACCTTACTTTAGAGGCTCCCTGATCTTGTAACACCAAGAAGTGAACAAAAGCATAGTTTAGGTTTACAATGCAGAAGACAAAATAGCAGCTTCGGAAGGCAGTAGCTGCACAGGCTGCTGCACTGCAGAGGCTACGTGCATACATGCAGTGAGCTTTCTACTTCTGAACACTTCACCTAGCTGCCAAAGTCATCTTTGGCTTGGGTACCACACTAAACATGGCAAGTGAGCACGATAGCCACCTAATTCCATCTCCTTTCCGGACTTAGAGGAGCATT